TTAAATTATACAAATATTTAGTTTTTTTAAGTTACCAATCACTTTAGCACCATAAAACCTCTTAAATTTGAGTAGCAAATTCAAAAACAAATACCTGAAATTCTGGATCTTGCAAGACTTGATGGAAGACGACTTCAAGTTGTTCCAGACAGGAAATCAGAGTCTCCGGGACGAACTTGCCACCAAACCTACCGAACTTCCCCGTCGACGGACGCTTAGTTTCGTCGGCTGATACTGCTCTCTCCTTGGCTAAGTCTGCCGTCGGATTTCCATAATTGTGTAGCCGCAAGACGGAGGGATTAACGTTGGATTTGCTTGTCGTCACACGATGATTAGCGCAAACCACTTGTGGGTAATTGTGGCGACGAGTCTTGAAATGGAAGTGATGAGTTTCCATGGTGGAATGGTGATTCGGGGTTTTGCAGGCGTAATTCATCTCTCTAAAGTAGCCTGCAATATTCTTCGAGGAACTATGGAGCAGAAGGAAGAATACGAAGATATTTTGAGTGAAGTAAACTGGATGCTGAAGTGGGTTGGTTTGGCAGTTGCAGCAGTGCATATATCTTTTTTTATCTCTATATAGGCTTTTTTAGCCCATTGCCAAAACGTTGAGGGACGTCATTGACTGAGGTATTGGTCTTACGAGAGTGCTACTTTATGTGACAATCAAACAACTGTTTCATGGACGTTTGTATGTAGGTCCGAAATTACAATAGCAATGTGTTTTTGTCTCCATCAATTTTGGACGGCCTATGTTTCAACCATTTTTTTTTTCAGGCAGACGAAATGACTTTCGTCAAAGGAGCAAATTCGATGTGCAAATCCGTGGATAGAAAACATGAGGTAAGGAGGAACATAATCGAGTACAAGAATAATATGGAATGAGATTTTTTTCGATGTATTGAGAATAAGGTAACTTGATGTATTTTGAAATCCTTATGTTACTTATGTTCTATACACCACCTAAAATCTGAAAAAATATCAGGAAGAAAACATATTACTTATGTTCTACATATTGGGAGTGAGATTCGAGCATGAAACCTCCCTTTTATAGGCCAGCATTTCAACCACCAAGCTGCAAGATATTGTAACGCTTTAGGTATAATAGTTAGGAATGACAATCAAATTCACAACTGAGAATACCAAACGTTCTCGATCCAATCGACGCGTGAAATCCTTATATTAACTGGGTATGAAACAGATATTAGTGAAACACGCAAAAGCATCGGAATGAAGAATCGATTTAAATGAGCTGGTAAATCTGTATTCTGCGAATACTACCAAAACCAAACCACCTGACAAGACTTCGCAAGTAGGCGATGTCTTGTGAACCTCCGCCATGTGGCCAACTCAATTGTGTGATGGGGCACTACTAAACTGTATTGAAAAGGACGAAATTAAATGGAAGAAAGGGAAGCGAGAGTGGCAGGTGCAGCTACGTTGCAGCAGCAGCAGCACAGAAGAAGAATATTAAGCGTGTCAATATCAATGCACATAATGGTTGTCTTGGATATGGCTTCCTTTTCCCGCCATCGCCAACAACCAGTCCTTCGTCTTTGTGGCACTGTTCGTACGCGTAGTGTAGTACTGTTGAATTATTGATAGTCCTCTGTTCTTTGTTCGGTTAAGAAGCAGTTGGTTGTGAATAGGAGGACTTGTTGGGAGAGGTTCGATAATGAATCTTATACCACATATTAACTGTAAAAAATACGCTCTCTGGAATGAAAGTCATTCATATGTGCTTGAAATTTGCACAGGTTTGAATACTATGTGCTTAACAAATGTATACCGTTCAGATTTGAACTAAAGACTTCTTAGTCACGGAAGACTATAATAACATGTCAAGAATCAGTTGGTCTCAACATTCGAGTTTTTTGGGAGAGGTTCGATAATGAATCTTTTACCACATGCTATACTAACACACCCTCTCAGACCAAAGCCACTCATATTGGCTTGAAGTACATGTTAGAAATACCCATGTGCTTAACAAATGGGGTTGCAAGTATAATAGAAAATTTCTCGATCACAAAATGTTATACTACCTTGTTAAGAACGAGTTGGTTCCCATAGCTCTGATCATTAGTAAATAGTATAAGATATACAACTTAACATATTTCAACAACTCGAGTTAATCTGATTCTTACTGAAATCCATGGCGGAAACGTTGTTTAAATGCTCAATTGAGAAGGCCATTTATATAATTCCATCTGTTGCTAGTACGTAGTAGACCTGGACCGGAATTCCAGTTGATGATATGATATTATCTTAAAGCACCTCACATGGTAACAGGCTAGCTGATGTTCTCTTTCATGGTTTGTTTGTGTCTAATCGTAAAACATGACGCAGCTGTTTCTCCAGCTAAAATATCATCAGAAATTCAGAATATTCCATTCTCAATTTAGTAATGCTTTTCTTGTTACGTTCTTAATTAAGAATAGCATCATCATGTCGTTTGCATTTAATTTATGTCCTAAGATACCATGGCGGAGCAATAAATTTGAAATATTATATTTTGTCAATTTATTACAAAATTTACATATAATTTTACATGATTTTGAAATTTAGGAGGGTTATATCCTCTCCTGCCACTAATATAGCTCCGCCACTGATAAGATATATGTTATAATAATTTGTTCGCCTCAACGTTGATCACTCCTATAACAAGTTACAAAAATATACAATCAATCACGCGTCTTACCGAAATTAATAATAAAAGTTGTAACTTGTAAGTCAATACACTAGTAGGGAATAATGGAAGGACTTGACTAGCTACCCTCTTCTTATGTGGTTCTCTTATAATGACATATATATATATCTTTCGAAAATTAGTTGTGGCAGAGTTTATTGTAAATGAACAACTTAAATTGAAGAGTTGGAATCATGGAATGTAAGTCTCTAGCTAGAGTTAACAAATTTATTCAACGAAAAAAACAGAGTCAACAAATTTTAAGGCAGATGTTGATATGATTTGATTACACGAGTTTGGCTTCTGAACTGGTTTGTAATTTCCTTCTTAACAAGATTGGATTAGTGTTAGACTATTGGAGAAGTACTATAAATACTTATCTTATTATGATATGTAATATTCTCAAGTATAGTGAAGATGGATCCCTCCCTCCAATAGACTAACTAACACGCGCTATGTAAGTGAACCACATAAATCTGTTTGTCCTTTACTTTCTTGTTTGATCGTTTTCTTTCTCGCATTATTGATTGCACCGGTCTGTGTGCGACAACATACATTGTCTAAAGCCTTTCTAGTCTAGTTGTACTCAAGATATGTAATAAAAGTTGTTGCTGCGACTTTAAGTCTGATTGTCTTTCGTTGACTAGAGAAGATATGCTCTCTAATCCACAGTGTATGGGCTTATACACATCTATGTTTTCTCTTTTTTTTTAACAAAAGATAATCATATATTGAATCAAAACAAAAGATAGTTACACCCTGGAATTCAGCCAGGTCTGAAAATCAAACAAACGACTCATAGTCGGGTACAAAGAAAGGGCCTTACGAGCCACCAAATGGGCTACCCTATTGCTATGCCGACCTACAAACCGAACAGCAAACTCGGACTGGGGATTAAAAAACTGCATAATCTCTTCAAGAACAGCCCCTGTCTGATTGTCTCTAGTATCTGCCTGATTGATTTTATCAATGATCACCTTGGCATCACCTTCAAAGACAACGTCCGTCAATCGAAGATCCATACACCATTGAACCGCTTCCCGGAGCACAAGTAATTCCACCACCATTGGGTCATCAATCCCCGGGAAGTGGACTCCTTTAACCAGGAGGATCTCCCTCAGAGGAGTCAACAGAACAATCCCCCCTGCCGAGTGAGAACCACTCCTAGTTGCACCATCCCACATACAAACAATCCTATCAGTCCCTCCCGGAGCCAGGAGCTGAGACCCCGGAAGGCCAACAACGGATGAAGGGTCAGCAGGTGGCAAATTCATCCACCTCATACTGCTGATGAAACTGGCGCATCAACGTAGGGAAGCTAAACTGCTTACCCTCAAAGACTACCCAATTCCGAGATCGCCAAATTCGCCAAAGAATGGCCACAACGGTTTTCTCCTATTTGAAACCTTGTCTGTAACCTTTTTCTCTCTATGTTGGATTAGGAATTTGGTCGTCTGGGAAGGTTCATACATAAGCATTTACAAACAGTCGGTAATTAGTATTTTCTTAAGTATAGTAAATTTAATCTCGCGTACCCGTGAATTAACTAACTCATATCGTGTTGGTGAATCAAGTATAAATATAACTATTGATGATCGACTTTTGAGTTTTCAAAACTTCTCTCTCCAGGTTTTGTTTACTTACCTTCAAGTCAAACTAGTGTCAATTCGAAGAAGCTCCGTTTTGGTTTTTTGCTTGCCTTTCTTGGCCCTTCTTTCTCGATTTTCTTCTGGTGAATGGACAATAATCAGCCCACAATTTAACTCTTGGATTTCAATGGTCGACGGACTTCAATGCTCACAGTCACTGGGCCTTACCCTACCTTCGGAGTAAACCACCACGAGATCAGAGGACCAAAATGAAATTACTAGGCTCGATACGGTAATTTTTTTGGCCGGACGTGTTCTGGTAAATTTATGGTGTAATAGATTGCAGTCTCTTAATCTTCAATAACTATTTTAAAAAATGTTAGAATGTTCGTCACCGGATCATACCAGCACTAATGCACCGGATCCCATCAGAACTCCGAAGTTAAACGTGCTTGGGCGAGAGTAGTACTAAGATGGGTGACCTCTTGGGAAGTCCTCGTGTTGCACCCCTTTTCGACTTATTTTGAACGCCAGGTGGTGGTGCATACGGATTGATAGTCTTCCCTTCTGCTTCCCTCTCTCCTGATGTAACTACTCTCCTTCTTGGCTTTTGCCTCCCTTAATGCAAAAAAAAAAAAAAAAAAAAAAAATTGAAGTTATAGAACAAACAAATTACCACAATCGATTCGTGTTAGAGCAAACCCATTCCTGCTACGGACAGGAGATATGATTAGTCCATAGTTAAAGCTCTTAAAGTAAAATGTTAAATGTTGATGACAAAATGAAATGAACAATTGCTCAATAGACATAATAAGTTGCAAAACTAAAAACAAATACACTTGGGAGTTCTAACATTAGCCTCTAACATACACAATCACTAATTTTCCAAAATGCTAAAACACCAACCCCTATTCAATCAAAACCCTAAACCCAAAATTAAAGGATAATCTCTAGTCTCCACGGGCAAAGAGTTACTTCTCTAACACAACACAATAATCCATCATCGATATAGCAATGAACAAAGATTAATTAATAACATCATAACTTTCACTTTTACACTTCAAATAACTTCCCCTCTTTTGTTCTCTTCCTCCAAATCTTCGAAGCTAGGCCAAAGTCAATACCCGAACCTACAACCCTTTGACTTCTTTCCCACATTCATCAAAAGGATCACCGTAGGTGCGTTCTTGACTTCTTCCCGTTTCTTCCTTCAGCTTCCTCAAAAGTCAATCCCCTGGATCAGAAAGGAACAACAAAATTTTCAATCAAGTCAAAATTCAGTCCAGTCATCGAGTACGTTTTTGCATGAATTGATATCGTTCAATGCGCATTTCTCAACCTTATATCTAATTATGAACATCCTAACCTCTTTCTCCACATCAAAAATTCAATTAGGTCATGAAAATTGAATGAGCAGCAATCGTTACGATGATTATTGTACTACAGTAAACACGTGCTGACACCATTAAATTGTTCCGTATTAATCTAAATGATTATTACACTGTCGTAAATACGTGCTGACACTATTAAATTATCTCGTATTAATCTAAATGATTATTATACTGTTTACGTGCTGACACCATTAAATTGTCCCGTGTTAATCTAAATGATTATATCAAAACCCGAGAGATCACTTGGGCCAGCAATCTAACGGGCATTATCAACATAATAGCCCTAACTCAAGAATCAAAATTACCGCATAACAAGTATAAAAAAAAAAGATGGATTTCTTTTTACCTAATTTCACGCAGTCTTCCCTGCGACGGCCTCCTTGATCCTCTCCACCGTGCACTTGATCAGACTATTCACCGTCGCCACCGACCCAAGCGAGAGCTTCGCCGTGGGGACCGAATCCACAAGTATCTGAAACGCCACGGTGAGCAGAGTCCCGCCGGAACCCACGTCGTCGACGATCCCTTCCGCAGGGTTGAACGCCGCCGCCGTCGGCCCGTCGGGGAGAATCGCGAACCCCGAAGGGAGCAGCGCCACGTAGTCCGGATCCCCGCCGCTAATCACGAGGTTCATGGCGGCGATATCCACCGGCGCGTAGATCACGTACGACCCCGTCGCGTCAACGTTGCTCTCCTGCAGTATCAGCATGTTGCTCTGGCTCGAGTTCGCGCTCTGTACAAGTCAAAAAAAAAAAATTTTGAATAGATATATGACTACAAATTAAAGAGACGAAATGATTGTTTTGTTACGAACCTAAATCTATGTGACCATGACGAATTACGAGTCTAAAATAAACAATTTCCATCGAATTGTGATTTACCAACAGAGTATCGGAAAACTTACGTTCACTCGAAGCAACGAGACGCAGTTTCCTGGATCACGCCCGTTGGCTATGTGAGCAATTTCTTGGACTTGGCCGCCATTGGAGAGTATATCCCACTGCCAAATTTTTTTTATTTTTTCAATTAGCATAAATTGTTTCCCTACTTGATTAAGAGCAAATTTTAATGATTACCTCGCTGCGGTGGTTCTCGTCCCTGAGGAAATCGAAAACCCTCTTAGGAGGAACGGAGATCCAGAAAGAAGTGGCGGCGCTGAGGACGATCCCCGGTGGCCTGCCGGGATCGTCCATGCTCTTCCTCGTCATAACACGAACGTCGTCGGTCCCCGACGGCGACAGCGTCGTCCAGGCGTGGGCCGTGGAGGCGCCGACGCCGGTGCAGAAGCTCATCACCATTCTCTCCGCCAGCTTCAGCATGCTCTTCCTCCCTTCCGGCCCCGTCATCACTAAAAAAAACACGTCAAACGTCAAATAATATTACGCATTACTTAATGGATTTGAACCTGAGACCTTTCGATTAAAAAAGCGAAACGTACCACAGAGGTCGCCAGCGGGAATGTTCATGGCCATGGAGCTGGCCAGCCGCTCGCACTGCCGGTCCAGCGTGGCGACCCATCTTTTGGCCCCGAAGGCTAGACCGGAGTGGACCAGCGGCCGGTAGATGTTGTGGACCGATGAGTCGTCGACTTCGATGTGTTCGACCCACATCACCTGGTGGATTAACGACAGAGGTATTCTTGTTAATTAGGTTCTAATTAACTAAGGACGGTTAATTACGTTGATTAATTGTTGTGTTACGTATACCTTGGAGTAACCGTTTGGTAGTTCCTGGATTAGGCAGCCGGAAGGCCTTCTTCTGTTCTTGGAGAGTGGGCTCGGGCGGAGGCTGTCCAATGAGACGTCGACAACTGCCCATGTTCCGTCGCTCTGCTGCTTACAATACCTCACGAAGTAATTCTCCCTCGTCGGGACTAACGGTGAAGGAACTTGGAACTCAGCTGTCATCTGCAGGAGAGTAAAAAAAAAAAAAATTTTGAGGTAAGGTATAGGTCGATCAGATGAGAAAACAAAACACTCCGAATCTTTTCGTTCTCAATTTTCGAACCAAGGTCAAGAAAGTGTCAGACATAAGGCTCTGGCGTTAGGGTCTCACCAAGCACCTAGCTTCTGTAATCGTCGACTAAATATGTTTGAACGTTGGAAGAAAATATAGCATTTTACCCAGATGAGATACAGAGATATATATATATATAAAAAACTTCACACATTCTTAAACTAATTAGTAAAGTACTTAATGCTTAGAAATAAGAAAATTAGCTCACAAATTTATAGAACCATAAAGTAATATCTATTGAAAATATTAATATACAAGATTTAATTTGTAGATGAAGCTCTTTTCCCCCTTTGGATATTGACTACCTAGCTCCATCTAATTATGTCTAGTAGATACTTAGGTGTTGGTTTACTCCGTCGACATATTTGCTGTGGAATGCCTAGACAAGACATTTTGGCGCTGCCTAGCGCCTAGACGTACCTAAGCGCAAGCTGTTTAATTGTATTTTTTAAACCATGTAAAGATCTGAGGAGCAATTTATGAGTCTAACAGCAGAAATGGTCACTTCGTCACTAATTACAAAATCGTCACGAACATTTAACAAAACAATGAACTGAAAAACAATCAGGTAATAATAAGCATCATCACTAATTACCACTTGCAAGGCGCCATTGTAGTTCCCGGCAACTCCGGTCGATAGCACCTCCAAAGTCATGGCACGAGACACAATCCCACAGAACACAGTCGACCATTGGTTCTGCCAAAACAACAGTCAAAGTCAGTCAAACCACATTTTACTTCCTCCCTCCTTGATCAATTCAAGATCGTTGAAAGCTTAAAAAAGCAATTAATCAAAACCCAAATTAAGCACTAACCACGTCCATCAAGATCTCAACGAGATTAACATGGTTCATGATCACAACAGCCGACTCCCTCGAGGCCTCCGACCTCAGGCCCAACGGCTTCGGCCCAATCCCTCTTGGGAACGTCCTCAAGTACTCCTCCTCGTTCAGCATCTCGCCGACAATATTACTACTACTTCCCTGATGAAGAAACTGATGATCTCCACCGCCCGCCGCCGCCGCTGGGACCCACAAGGGCTCCCCTGACTGAGCCATCCTCACGAGCTCCTCCATCGCCGCCACGGCCAGCTCGACGATCATCGGCTTGTCTGCCTCCGTGGGGCCCGCCACCGACCTCAACAGGTCGGAGGCGGCACCGTACATCTCCCCCACGAAGCCGCCGGCAGCTGGCTGCCCGCCGAAGTCGATCGACGAGCGGGAGGGTAGGTGCGGGGAGAGGTGGGAGGAGAATGAGTTGATCGGCTTGCCCACGTACTTGGCTGCTATGGCCGAAATCCTGTCGATCTGCGTGTGTGCATGTAAAGTGTCACATACTCAACATCGATGTTAAAAACTACAGTTTGTGTAACTAATATACTTAGAAATGCGCTTTAAACGTTAAAAGCTTACGATTTTACTATTTTAAATCGCCAAAACGCTTCTTCTATGAATGATCCAACCAACAAAGGAACCGTAAGGTGCAAAAGGAGATGTGCAAAAGTGTAGGTTACCTCCTCTCTTAAGCGGGCGTTCTCGATCCTGAGGTGCTGCTCGTCGAACGACATCTCGCCGAGGGCGGCGGGGCCGCCGCAGTTAGGGCAGGAGGCGTTGGTTAGGGCTTCCTTGTAGCGGTTGTTCTCGGCGCGGAGCTTGTCGTTCTCCGACTTCAGGATCGAGTTCTCGTGGCGCTCGTGTTGTGCCTGCGAGCAACAAAGAAGCATATCTTTTTATCATTATTCGTTACTCAGAATTCACATTCCATACTCGCCTGGATATTGCCCAAATTCATTTTAGTATATATATGGGTCAAATTAGGTTTGGGTTGATGTTTTTAGTCAAACTTATACTTAAGTTTGGATCTAATTAAATTGAACCCCGAATGAAAATGGACACTCAATTCTAATGCTATTTGTATCTTATTTTGGTGACGGTTATTGAGATGTTCGAGATTGTTTTCTGGTGTGCAGAATCATCTAGATTCGTATAGACCCATTTGAGTTGGGCCAAATGAATTGAACTAAATCGGTACTGATTCAAACCCAATCCAAAATCAAAACTAATTTAAAGTACATATAAATTCATTTAAGTTCAACCCAAATCTCATATGAATCATGACAATTGAGTCAGATTGCTGACATGATCCTAATGTTTCCGTGACAGGGGAAAGCCTAAGCATAATTCCATGTATTCAGTGAAAATGAGATTTGACACTCAGTTGATGAATGATCATACCTTCATTTGAGTGCGCTTGTTCTGGAACCAAAACTTGACTTGCAACGGCTCCAACCCTAACTCCCTGCTCAGCTCTTTCCTCTGCTTGTCGTCCGGATGAGGACACTCCTTGAAGAAGCTGAATTAACCCAAAAAAAAGAAAATCCGCACAAGTTTAATAAACCTTACAATGTACATCTAAATAACTTCGTATGAACTGATATTGTTGCGCCAAAACCCCTGTAATCTCAATCGTTGAATGCACATGAGATGTGTCATCAAACTAACTTTGTACAAAAGATGTGTCATCTGTTTCATGTTGAGGGAAAAGGGTTGAGTGACTTACGCCTCCATCTCTTGGATTTGGCGCTGAGTGTGGCGGTGGTACCGCTTCTTCTTGTTCGGCGGCTGCGTCGGGCTGCCGTCGAGGTCGTCCCCCGACGGATCGGCTCCTCCGCCCATGGTCTCGGTTCCCGACTTGGTCTCGTAGTCGTCCATCAAGTCCCTCGACTTGCCCATCTCGGCCTCGAACGCCTTCGAGGTCATCTCGAAGATGTGCGGGCTGTCGAACATGTTTGGTTGGAACATCTTTGCCACCAATGTACTATATATTGCTCCTCAAGAATCCTGAAAAATGATAGAGAGCTTTAGTACGCACACGCGTTTGCTGAGAAAAGGGGAAGAAGAATGTGACAAGGCAAGCGTGTGAACAATGGTAATTGGGAAGAAACGTAACGGTTTTACAGAATGGAAGGGAAAAAAACTTGTTTACACGGTACATGAACTAGAGGATGCAAACGAATCACAGGTTTAATCTTGTTCGGGTTTCGAGTATCTAAACGAAAACCCTCGCGCAAATAGAACAAGAGGAGGAGAGATTTAGCAGTAGTGTACCTTTGTGTGGTTGGTGAGTAAAAGCTTAGAGGCTCGAGGTAGGTAGCTAGCCAAGATCGGGGGACCTTTCGCGGGTATGGAGCTCCATCTTGCAATGCATGTTTATATGTGTGTGGAGAACTTTTCTGAGAGCTTCTTTCTTTCACATCAAGAGAAACCCTAGGGAAAGAAGAAGGCAAATCAACAGAGAGAGAGAGAGAGAGAGAGAGAGAGAGAGGTAAGTAAGTAAGTAGGAAGCAAAGCAAAGCAAAGCAAGTTTTCAGTAAGTAGAAATCGGTGGGTTTTTGTTTAGTTTTATGCACACATCCTTTTGACTTCTTACTAGATTCTCTGGGGAAAAAACAAAGGTCTCTCATTACATTGCCAAGCCTGAGAAAGAAAAAGGAGAGAGATGGGTTCTTTTCCCCCTTTATAATAAGGTCTTAACACTTACAAGTTACAACAACGGAACAAGAAAATTTTTGTAATAAACCTTACAACAACCCCAAAACAAAAAAGTTCATAACGCTTGGCCGCTAAGATCTCGGCAAAATCCCATCGCCATTCCTCATTTTCCACTCTCTCTCTTCATAAAACACTAACGTAAACATATTAACTCCTAGACCTCCATCAGAATTCTCGTGGATCGGATTGAGAATCAAGCTCAGTAGACTGCAAGACTACTCATATCAAGTACCAAACGACGCCGTGGATTGATAGAACTATACACAAAGAAGAAAGGGTTATGAGCAAAGCAAGGACTTACCCCAGATTAGGGTTTCTTCTTCCTTTCCTTCGAGACCAAGGAGCTTGATTGTTCAACCTCAGCAGCTGTGGACTGGTTTGACTCTTGGGACTGTGTCCTTGTTCCTCTTAATGATGTGTTTGCTGTGCTAGAGAAAAGAGGGCCGAGGAAAGTAGGGTTTTTCTTGATGAGATGACGACTGCTAGAGAGAGAAGCAAAGAAGGGGAGGAGGTTTTTGAACAGATCAAAGGGGGGAGAGATGGTGAAGATGGATGGAGGAAGAAGAAGGAGAAGGGGAGGGAAAGGGAAAGGGAAAGGGAGGAAAACAGGTGGGGAGATGCGGGCAGCCAGAGAAGAGGAGTTATTGCGGGGAGAGGGAGAGGGAGAAGGAGGAGGAAGAGCGTATTGAGAGGGTGCAATTGCATTTATGGTAGAGCAAGAGCAATAGCAGGTTTTTAATGCTACCAGAGAGAGAAAGGTGTTTGTATATATGGAAATAATATGAAAGCAAAATATTTATATATATATATAAATAAATACCTTCTTTTCAAATAAATATATACACACGAAGAAAGTTTCAATATTGTATTTTTGCTTTGTCTTCCTCCTATTTCTGAATAATAATGTATAAATCATCAATCTCCTTATCTATCCTCCCTTCTTTCCATCATGCTGCGTGATGAAGCCCTAATTCTAGGGTTCCTTACCACCAAAACAGTGCCACACGTTCTTTCTGATGGGGGTGGACCGATCTATGTTCTACGGGTATCGTTTGACACGTAAATTTATGTGACGATTTCTTATCTAAAGTGTAACGAAAAGATATGACATTAGTCGTACTTCAATTATGTTAATAGCGTGGAGTACTACTAAAATCAATGGTTATTTCTAAATCATGACGTCAAATGCTATTTGCAATCTCGAAAACTTGAATTAACGTGACATGGATTGAGAAGAAAAAAATTGTGGGGAATGGATAGGAATTTAATAAAGACCATGATTATCAAAATTCACTTGTTTGGATGAGAATATGGATTGGGGGAGTAGTAATTGTGTCGACAAAAATGAATGTTCATTAATCAATATTTCATCATTATATAGGTGTTTCATTTAAGTTCAATAATAATACTCCTTTGCAAATTAACTACTTTCGAGTGAGTGAATTGACCAAATGAAATTGGATTTTGGCAGGATGAAAAAATGGAGGAATTTTGATCATAAATAAGCTTTGGACCATCCACGATGGAGACTTGTCCATCTTTTGAATATTTTTTTTTTGCTTTAATTTATTTTATTTTTAATTGATGGGTTTGGTTATGTTATTACTTAATATAGGATTGCTGGGGCTGAAAAGGGATTTCTTAGCTGCCTTAATAAATTGGGGAAACAAATCATAACCTGCCATTCAATGATGTGGGCTATAAGGGAAACTTGATGCAAAACAGGACACATTATTGGTTCTGCGTATTGCTTTCCCTTATTGAGAAGATGTATAGTCCTAATTCGGGTTGGAAAAGGTGTACATTTTTCGTATGCATAGAATTTTTCATTACCCCATCTTATTATTATTAATTAATTTGTATAAAACTACAAATACATTTTGGATTTTGGTCCTTATAGTATAGAATTACAACTAATGTCGAATATAATATGATTAAGATGGTTCAATTTCAGCCAGATTTTATCTGGCTAGCTCGAACCAAATCATTACACACCCTTGCTAATACTTATAGGATTACACACCCTTGCTAATACTTATAGGAGGAGTGACCTCGTTTCACAATAAACTAATACCTTTCCCTTTGACTTTTAGGGTTAAAAAAGAGAACCACTCACTCACCACTGTAAAAACAAATGTGTGGCCCTAGGGCTAGCCGCCTACAGATAGTATAGTCTAGACAAAACAAAAATCAACGGTAGACACAATTGTCACACAAGTCCACAACCAGAGTCAAAGGTTTGCACACAAAAATAAAGTAAAAAAAAAAACTAATACAAGAGTTTTGGTAATAAAAGGTGAAAATAGAAACAATAGGTAAAAAAAAGTCTTTGCCTCTAAACAAGGGTCCAATTCCGTCATTTCCAAGGGGGGGAGGAAGGGAAATTTGACTTCCAGCGAGGCAAGATGACGTGACGTCAGGGGACGTCGACGTGGCGTTAGCGTAAATAAGGAACGGGGAATGGGTTGGTGGTACGTGTGGGCATGGATTTTCCCGTGTGTTGAAAATCTACGTCAATGGTGGGGCCCATATTATTGTGACCTGTCAACAGTATGGCTAAATGCCCAATTACACTTCACACCCCTTACTTTTCAGTTTCTACCTTGATTAATCCCTTTCTATTTTTCTATAGATATTTTAAACCTTAGCCTTACTTTTAACATCTTGCTTCAATCCGACGCCGTTCTTGCCATTGAAAAAGTTGCATCTTCTTCCATGATAATGAGGTGTATCTTTTTTCATTAGATCATCCATCAAAAAAATCGAAAAAATCAATACAATTATCCAAGTTACAAAACAAGATCCCTCTCAATGGACAATCATATTACTATCCCAACTAATGAATCGCACACTGAACACCTGAAAATAATCGTTAAGCATGACAATCTCAACAAGGATGACACCACAACAAGCATGTGGATGTGACGCGTTCCCCTCTTAAACCTTAACCAAGACCACATTTGCATCACCTGCAAAAGACACCCCTCGTACTCCTTGCTTCACACACGAGTGATTCGCATCCCATTGTGCCAACAGCTCTACCGGGAATGGGCCCTCAACCCTACTATACAAGCCACACCCCTCAACTACCACCACAATCAGACCATTCGGATCCTGCATAACCCAACCGTCCGCCCTATGATATATGTAAATGTATAGTGTAGGAGGTATTGAGTCTGTATAATTTGAGTTATGGATGATAACATCCCGGTTTGGTATTTGAATCGGATCAGAACCAAGATACATAAATGATTAAGCGACAATCGAATCAAAATCTTGATTCGTCTCGATTTTTAGGGATTCTCATTCAATCCTGTTTCATTGATCTCTTTAACTTGGCTAGAATCAATTCACAACGAAGTTATTAATTAACATGAGCCGTAGGAAGGGCACAACAAAACATGAATCATAAAACACAGCTTGAATAGGATTTGACTATTCAGCAAGAACATAAACACAATGCTTTACGGCCCCCACAGTGCGTGGTCGAAATCTTCGAAGCCCAAATTGTATACATTTCTTCGGCTACACCCTGCCATCTTGTTCTCTTATCTACGACCAAAAAGGCCCATCATCTGCTACTGCATGTTATCCTAATCAAAGCTTGTTTTCCCTAGGTATTCATTATTCATCGGCCATACATAGATAAGGAGATAGCCGCCTCACCAAATTGCACAGTACCAGTTTCTTTGAGTCCAAAATGGCGTCGATAGCTCTGCCTTTGCGAGAGTTCTTATAGGATCCAGTGCATTAGCGATGAATGATGATATGATTCGTTATCATCGTGTTTATGTTCGTATTTTGTTTGTAGCGGACTGTTATAGAATGCAAGTCATGTCACATGTGGGTTTGTAGTTGAGCGAAGTTTATGTTTATGAACCTATCTTTTGCTTGAGCTTCTAGGATCATCAACACTAATTAATAAGGAAATCAAGATAAATGAACGTGTCTCTTTGTGTATAATCGCCTCGATTAAGTGTTGAGTCAGTTGAAGAGGGGATGAGAACTGAGAAGAGGGTAAGTGGGCACAAGGTGTACATCATTTACTAGTTGAAAAGTGATGACCTAATTATATCAACGTGAAACACAAACAGTGATGAGTTCAGTTGCCATATTTTTTAAATTACTTTGGACTTGGATTCTGGAGAGAGGCCTTGATTGACTGAGTATAAAGATGAATTAAAACAAGAGAAAGATGGGGGTTGAAGTTCACTACCAACATGATAATAGATTGTGATCATGATTGCTTTTGACATTCAAATAAACTTGATTTTAATTACTAGAAACAATTAAATGATTGACCTAACAAAATGAACAACTCCAAGAACAAAATATCTTAGTCCATTAAATAATCTCAATCTTCATACTACTCTTCAAAGTGATCCATTGATTCCAATGATAACTAATATGCAAACTAAAATCATTTGCAACCATGCAATAAGTCATATTTAAGACCCAAAACCACATCCATATAGATTTGGTTCAAACTGAATTGGACCCATTTAATTAGATGTGACTGGTGAAGAAGGAAATGCTCTTCCAACAAGAATCACTATTGTGCACTAATTATCAAAGTGCTCCCCGACCCTTTATTTTCAACTAACTAACTCGTAAAGTCATCCACCAAAGAACAAAACAAAGTACCATATTTATAGTGTTAAAAAATGGCGCAATTTGCCTGCTCGATCGATTGGCTGGCTAGCTATGCTATAGTCGGAAGTCCGCAAAGAAGGAAGGAGACAGGGAATTGAACTCACCCTAACGATAAAAATGATCTGATGTGATGTTTGGTGAAGGGCCATCATTTCTTCAAGTTCTTTTATGTATTTGTCGAAGGAAAACGGATGCTAAAAGGAGAAGTAGGTGGTCCGATTACTTATATTATTATGGATGTTTTTGTCTCAATGTAATCCAAGTGAAATTACATGTTCAATTCGGATTTGTCGAGGATGCAAACATGGAAATCGAATTTCCGCCAGTAAACTGTAATGAGTTGGGTAGGGGACGACAATTTCAATTGATGCTTAAATATAGTTAAAAATAATATGAAAATAATCTTTGTATAAATCCTCAAATTTTTAACAATTTTTCAGTTATGTTCAAGTCGGATTTATCAAATTTACGATAAAAACTCTGATGAAGCGCCCTCCTTATCTCCCTCGGACTTCATCGACTGCCATGCTCGAAGGAGAGTACAACATGCTTCACTTCATTGCCTTGGCTGACACACACACACAAAATAAATGTCGGTTTCAAACTAGAGGGCGGCTTCAAAGTTGGCGTGATTTGTAGAATGTATATTTTCAATTTTGGAATTCAATGGATCAAATAAGTAGATAGTTATTGCCCACAATTCTTTAACTTGCAATATATTCTCTTTAAAATGAACCAATATAACTCATGTGAATTGCAATCGAACCAATGTTACTCATAGTGATTTTGGATGCACTCTAAGTAATAATAATTTGGATTTAATTTTAAAAATTGTAAGACTTAATTAACTCACCTCATCAACACATATGTGATACATGAACATGCATGTCCAAATAAAACCAAATGAATTCGGTTTAATAAACTCAACTTAATCTTAACCTAATACCAAATTATCTATCTTATTATTTCCTAATACATGCATTTTGAAATACATGATCATGCCATACCAAGTTCAATCATATTTTCCAAACTGTCCTATAAGAGCAGTGAAACATTAATTGTAGCCACGCTTTTGCAATTTGCATTGGCTGGCGTGTTCAATATGCCTACCAACCACATCGTCTTCCTGCCCCTATGCCATTCTGGCTTCCAATATGATTGCTCGCCACAGAATCTTTTGGACCAACCAAACCAAATTATAAGCATACTCTTCAGTCTTCCCAGCCAACTCTTCACTTACTCAACTACATGTCAGTGTTGCTACTAACATATATAAGTACCATGGCCAGTAGTAACATACAATGGCATCCTATGACATGAAAGAGAAGTTCAGAAAGAAAACCGTTTCGATCTCGATATTTTGTATTCATAAACTGAAACGAATAACTTTTACAAAACTTCGAAATTCAGAGGAGAATGCGTGTAATTAATAATCGTTCGTGGTTAATTTTATGTGGCTCATTCTAGTTTTCATATGGGCTCTTGATTTTCTTAGGTTTGTTATCGTGGTAGAGTGTAATTACACCTATGATCATTTGATAAAAACATACATTCTAAATGATAACGATCAAGTAGCTTCATTTTCGTTGAGAAAAGGAAAACGACGTCTTGGAACTGAATTTACTATGTATCAAATTAAATTAAACAAACTAATGATGATGATGTGTTTGTCGTTAAAGAAGAGAAATCATCTAACCATCCATTACAATCACCAAATGATAATAGGGAAACGAGCAAGGTTTTGAGCTAGCATATTTCTTTCCCCGAGAGACATACTTAGTACCTTGTCCTAAAAGTTCATGAACTTCTTGTATTTCATAAGAAAAATTCAATCTCTCGGTAATTGACTCTTTCGAATCTTCAAACGATTCATCGGAACTTGACATTCTATCTCATTGACAAAGGGATATCCTTACAAATCATTCCAAGCATTGATGGAACAACTCTTTAAACTATCCTATAAATAATGCTTCTCAAATCCACGCTAAATTGTCCTCTCGTAATGTGATATTACTGATTAACATGATCATAGTCTCGTTCTCTTGTAAAATCGTACGAGAGATCAAATCCGAACACGGATCCCCAAACATTAGCCATGGTAAGCTTGCTCAAACATTCTGAATGAGTTATTCCATTTTTCTCCAAAACTACTCTAGCTTGAGTTCTCTCTTTCAATCACCAAACAAAAATGGCTGTGGTGGAGGCGTTGTTTGTACAATTCAATAAAAGCCTAATCAATGGATTTGGGCTTTATGAGCTCTGACCAGTATTAATGGCCTTCCTTTACTATAACAAGTAATACGAGTAAATGTGTTACATGGACAAATCCCTTAATGTGTGCTTTTATGGATAAAGCTGGAGAGCATACTGGATTCCATCTTCCTCATAGCCATATGGGCCAGTTTGGAGGTTGAAATTGCAATCACATCAATTAAATACTCTCTTGTACCCTAACAAATTTTAAATGAAGGAATCAACTACTTCCTGGCAAATTCTTCATGAACCAGGCAAAACTACAACAGCCCACAGAAAAATATCACTCGAAGTTCACCTGGCCCATAAGGAGGTTTAGGGTCCAAGCCCTACTCTACTCTTATCGTTTTTGTCCAAAGTTAAGGGTCCAAGCCCTTCTCCTTTCTCAAACACTTAATCGGTCGAATTTTCGTTATTTTACTTTGTACTTCAATTCGAAACGACTTAAGCTTCGAGATGTAGATCACGATGGTCCGATAATTTTATCTATGTTTCGTCTTGTGGGCATGTCCGTCATCAGTGGAGTTTGTTGGATAGAGCTCGAATCAGCACACAGAGATTATTTATCGTCTTGATCAAAATATCATATTGCTACCAAATATAAACATATCGTCACTTTGAGATCAATTGACTTCGACGACAAGCTTTAATGAATTTCTCAATAGCAAACCAATTATCCGAATATATTTCCTCTACAATATGTGGGTTCTAACAACAAATCGCCACTTAATTTAGTTATAATACATGATCGAGCTAGGTAAAATCATCAATAATCGACGTATCTCAAGCTCAAACACCTGTGTTGGAAATTTTCATCATGAGCCACAACATACATGTGGTTACCCAACTTAATACGAATCCAAATATAGAATAAGCAACACGATCCATAACGAAAAACACTCTAAATTTCAATAACCCAAAAAAATTCATCAATAACGTGAAATAAATTTCATAGACAGAATAAACCCACAAATCCCACAAAAAAACTACACAATTCCAATCACCCAAATCAATCCACAATTCCACATACTTTTTTTTCTCCCCAACTCCACCACCTAGTGGCGGACCACAGTTTTGCAACTGGACTCCGTCTTCTGGCTATCCACATGAACCGAAATCTCACACGTACAATTGCTCGAAACCTCCGTCTTCAGCACCTTGAAAATCGACGCCTTCCCGTGAAGCGACGACGTCGACGTGAAATTCAAGACCCCCTTGAGCAAATCCCCATAGAATTCAAAATCCTTCAAAAATTCCCCCGCCATGAGCGTGATGTTGGTCCGAATCGTCTGGGTCGACCGGGCCTTCTGGTAACCGGCCGGAATCGGCGACACGCCGACGAGGTCGCCGCGGTAGACGAGGTAGGCGTTGCTGTCGTCGTAGCGGAAGCTGCCGTAGTTTGGGTTTTTCACTTCGACGACGAGGCCCAATGTGAGGTTGAGAAAGGGCCTGGGGAGGATCGCGGACTGGATCCGGTCCAGTGTCACGGACTTGGTTGTGATTTTGGGCTCTTTGGGCTTGAGGACCACGAGGAAGAGGACGACTAGGGCCACGGCGATGACGAGGAGGAGGATGCAGGCGACGACGAGGCAGATTTTCAGGCCGCGGCCGCAGCACGACATTGCGGCGGAATAAGGGACACAAAGGTTTTTTTTTTTTTCTTTTGGAGGAGAATTTGGAGTTTAGAGTTGTGATGGTGATAGGGTTCTTTCGTTCTTATGTTTTGTTTATATAAGTTGGAATGGAATGTTTGGAGAAAAGGACGGAGGGATGAATCGGCGGGGAGATGCTCTGTTTCATATTTAGGTTAAAATTCTGAATACAATTCATAAAAGGAAGAAGAATAAAAAAAAGGTTATGAATACTTTTTTTTCCTCATTAGTATTTCAGTTTTAATACGATACTAATTACTAAGTCAGTTTGTGATTTTGCGTGGAATATTAATAATGGAATTAGCCCGCTGAAAAGCATGTAGTTAATGACAAGTATGTGATCATACGTTTATTAGAGTATTATTATGTTTAACTTCACATTCTATGTATCCTCTGGTTTCTTTTGACGATGTGTCACACTCGAATTCAAAAGCAAAATGTGATTGAGGAACATGTGTGACATGTGAATCTCATAAAAAGTTGTTACTAGTTGTATGAATCTATCATCCATTCATCCCAACAAATAAAACGAAATAGGTGTTTAAGAGTAGGGGAAAGCGGCATGGATTTGCATTGTTGCTGTGTTTTTTATTTTATTTTTAAATAAATTGTGGGTTATGTGCTGTGAATAAAATGAAGAAAAGGGCGGATTTTTTTTTTCGAATTAATGCTTTTGATTGGAAGGCTTGTCATAGTGAGCATTGTGTGTTGGATTATGCCTTATTATGGTGTAGTAGTTTAATCTAATGAGGAACCTTTTGAGAAAACAAGGAAATAGCGCCAAGTTCTGAGGGTGTTCGGCTTTGGTTTTGTGGGTCAAAGACAAGAAAATGGGCAAAGATTAAAAACAAAAAAAATTAATCACTTAATGGGGACTTGTCAGGTTGTTTTATCTTTTATGGTATGGTAAGCTGTGATGTTGAAATGTTGATGCTTGACTTCATTAGTTCATTGGAAACAAAAGAGAGCTAAAAAAATCAACGATTCGTTTGTCAAGAAATTACATGTATTCGCAGATTTATGTATGTAGGTAGAATGGAGAGAATTCACGTAATATTAAAATATGTAGTTTGTTCCATAAAAAAAGATATGTTGTTTGAATTGTATGAATTTATGGTGAGATTCATATTGACATTGGTGTAGTCAGGATTATCATTTAAAGGAATCCAAAGGTAATCCAAATGCAACATGTATCGCCATGATAAAGTTGTTGTTTTGGAAGAGGAGGTTCATGGCTCAAGGCATTCCACCTTGAAAATTCGTCATTTTTAATGTATATTTATTTTCAACTAGGGTCTTGGGAAATGGGACTTCACAACTCTCCCCTTCATTGTATATAGGCAAAATTCATGGAAAATGGTTTTTCGAAAAAATAATCAGAAATTTATGATGTTACCCCTTTGGAATCAGTCAACAATGAATTTGAAAAATATACGTCCAAATCAATGTCTAAAAGACTTAATCATCGGTGAAGAGTAGCTTCAGGCTCCATAGCTTTCAAATCAAAGGAAACTTGGCGTTTCAAAAAAAATGCCAAAATTGTTATGAAAATGTCCTCCGAAAACATTCCCACAAATTGGTGATAAATAGACTTCATCACCCGTGGAGAATAGCCTCAGGAGGAATCCGTACTATGTAACCTTCAAAATCCAAGAAAAATGGTCATTCAAAAAAATTGTCTGAAATCTGTTATGGTACCCCTTTGGAATCTCCCAAAAATGGACCCGAAAAAAATTCACCTATATCGATGCTTAATATACTTAATCATCAGTGAAGAATAGTCTCAGGCAAAATCCAAGAAAAATGGCCTTTCGAAAAAGCTATCCAAAAAATTACAAAAATGCCCTCCGAAAAAATTCCACCCAAATTGGCGATTAATAGACTTCATCATCTGTGGAGAATCGCTTAAGAGGGAATCCATGATGTAGCCTTCAAAATCCAAGGAAAATGATCATTCGAAAAAATCGTCTGAAACCTCTTAGGCTAAATCCAATGGAGCCTCTATATTTGGGAAAAAGTTGGCTCCAATGAAATCTCTATATTTGAGGGGAGATCTGCAAAATGATCCCCAAATTTGGGGGTCGAAATGGGAATTCTCCCAAATATAGAGACTCCCCAAAGCCCGCCACGTGGCTTTTCTTTTTCTTTTTAAGATTTTAAGGGTTAATTGGGGTTTAATTAGGGGATTAGTTAGGAGTTTAATTAGATCAATAATTTTCAAGTGTTGTGTGTAAACCCAAATTAGGTCAATCATTTTTTAAGAAAAAAATTTGGTCTCAAAATTAATAAAAATTCTACCGGAAAATTTGTAATTAATAATGATGACAAACTATATAAAAATTAACATGAACAAATTGTATTAAGATGATCATAAGTACGTTTATAAGTAAAGAAAAACTAACTAAAAAGGAATATCCCCAAATCTGGAGAATGTAGCATTGGAAGAAAAGAGGAGAAAATGGGGATGAAAGTCCCCAAATTTGGAGACTAGTAAGGGACTATGGACTTGGCCTTACTGTACTCCTTTGGAAGCCGCAAAAAATGTAATTGGAAAAAATCCGCTCAAATAGGTGTTTAACAGACTTAATCATAAATAAAAAATAGTCTCATATCGAATATGTGATCTGTAACCTTCGAAATCCTATAAAATGGACTTTAAAAAAATGTCCAAAAATTTACAAAAATATCCTCCAAAAAATTTCGGCCAAATTGAGGATTAATAGAATTTGTCATCGATAGATAATAACCTCATATAGAATCCATGATTTGTTGCCTTCAAATTCCAAGGAAAATGACATTTAATTATTTAAAAGAAAGTAAATTAACGAGCAACTGGACTAGGTTGGTCCACAGAATCCATGAATTATTCAAACAGGAAGCAGGTCTCGATCCCAGCAGCTGCAATGCTGCATTAGCTTCCTTCCTTAATGGCAATTCTGCTAACCATATGGTTGTGATACCACCTGTCACCTGATGTATGACATTTTCAAACGAGCTATCCCACGAGTACATTTATTGGAAGTTCCTTGGCATACGATCATTCTGATGAAGATTGTTCGGATCTTGGGTATGGCTAGATCAGGTTGGCTGAAGATAAATCAAGGTTCAAGGACAAAATCATAATCAAGCCATGATGGGATTGTAACAGCATGATAAACAGACAAGGATAGAGCCCTAATAAAAACTGTAGCAGCTGAATCTCCGTTATTAGGACGGACCGATGTGATCTCACAAACACGAGAAAAACTAGCAGAACAATATTTGGAACTCAATGGACAATGGACGAGAATCACTTACCAATTCCATGTTTCCTCCCATTGGTACTTCGCTAAAGTGGATAGTGCAGTAGCATGGACAGATCTCTTAACTTTGATGCTCTGAGCAATCATCCTGGATGGACAACATTGAAATTGAGGCAATGCCAGACCGAAGAAAAGCTCATTTGTAAGGAAGATTCAGCTGTTCCAACTGATGCTGATCATTGCTTTGGAACCTAGTCTGGTTCCTGGAGTGAATCAGCACAATCCAGCTATGAAGAAACAGACTAGCATATGGCCAATAAGCGGGATAAAAACTTGCCTTTGCAATTGGCTTAAGAAACCCTATCATGGCTAACAGACCGTTAAACGTTTGGCAAATCCCCAATTTGAAAGCATAGTATTAACAGGCTAATAAAAGTGCCAACCCCAAAGGTTTGCTTTTGTTTGGGAAAGCATGCAAGAGAATGGCATAAACAACATGCATAGCCTCTATTAACAACTTGAATTATTAGAACCGAATAGTTCGTGACAGTGTCAACCCGGTATAGAGAATCGCCGGGAACTTTTTCCATATTGATCGAAAAGATGGATACAAGAGAATGGCATGAGTGCCCAACGGATAACCGACACAGAGTTGGTGAAGTGAGAACATTGGGAGGGCAAAAAGAAAGAGAAGTTCCAAACCTGTAGTACTATTCCACAGAAGTTTTTCCAGTTGTCCTCATCCAACAGACTCTAGCCGTCTTCATTAATTAATGAAGTACTTCTTGGTAAAGACTAAAGAGATTTGGGACATGCTGTGCCAATCCAAAGTTTCCCCCAACAATCGGCTTGGTTCATTGTTCCTTGTAGCCAAATGGTAGATGGTCATATTCACGTCTACTTGGACTCCTGGACTCACCTGACACAAGTGCAGATATTAGTAGAGCTAAGTTTGAGTTGGCAATTGAAGCTTTACAAGCACACCAGAATGCTATTTCAAAATGATTGGAAGGAGATTTGGGTAACGAAAATGTAGTCTTTACTCACCAAAAGTATGATTCAGAAACTAAAATGTAGTCTTTTCCCACCATCACTTGGGAGCTCTCTGCCGGACATCCTGTGGGTTCCATGTGGCCTTTTGTGTGACAGCGGTAGATCTGATCAAAGGGAATTATAAGCTTCAGAAACAGTCACTATTAAGTATTAATGGGGAAAACACAGCACGAAAAGAAGGTGGGAAATTTAGATGGCGAGTATGAATTCATGGATCTACATAAATTTATCTACAACTTCATCTAAAAAGAAAGCATATAACTCTGACACAGTTCAGCATATTAGAACTAGAACCTTAGCAGAAAGTAGCGAGATCGTGTACTCACCAGCTTGAATTTTCCACTTGTGCCTTCCCCTTTGCCACCAGCTCATGGATATCCTGAAGGCAACAGATAAGAAAATTATAGATAGACTGATCAAGTTAATTGGTACAAAGAGAAACAAGAACACCCACAGGAGGTTGCATTAAAGGAAAGGTGCTTCCAGACCTTTAGTATCTGATGGAAGTTGTCCCATCCATAAATATCCCACAGAAACTGGCCGTCTCTATTAATGTTGTGCTTATCGATAGTTATATTTGGAACATGCGACAAGTTGTGCCATTCCAGAGTCTCCTCCAGCCCTGAACATTCGTTAATTTTTATCTCTTGCAGAGAAGTGAGGTGCTGCATCCCTTGCAGCCACTCTCTTGGGGGATCGTCAATGCAAAATATTACCAGTTTCTTCAGTTTGGACAAAGGGTACTGCATTGAGCCCACTTCACTTGAAAAAGAAGAAGAGCTTATATGCCCTAAGGAGGACAACCAGTTCATTGTGCACAGTAGCGGTTCTAGGCTACCTCCAATCAATTTCAGCTTCTTAGTCAGTTTCGGGAACACTGGCATCAACGTCAGCAGAGGGCAATGCTCTATGAAAAGTTTAGAAAGTTCAGGGAATAAGAGCAGCTCCCTCCTCCGCCATCCCTTTAGTTTGGGGCACTGTCGCAATTTAAGTTTCTTGAGGGAAGGGAAGAATGGCTTGCATGCCTTCTTGTTCTGTATAGCTTCTTCAGTCAGCAACCGGCAGCTGTCACCATCTTCATCTTCATCCATATACTCTAGTTCAATCAATCCCACCATAATAAGCCTTCGAAGGATGGGTAATCCTTGCAAGTGGTGCAAACCATGACGCACTTTGCACCAATACAATGAAAGTGTGACCAGGTTAGTGAGGGAAGAAATCCAACTAGGAAATCTCCCTCCTCTGCAGTGAGCCACCTGGAACGATTTCAGAACCGGGTGCGGTTGGAGGCCTTCCAGCAAGCTTTCATCCCATTCAGCATCTTCTTCTGATCCCCTCAAGCCTTCTTCCCATGGACTCTCGTTCCATTCATTGGTACCAAGATCCCAACGCAGGAACAAAGTTTGCAGGTGAATCTTCCCCTTCAAATTAGCCACCGCACCAATCTCAAATGCCAGTGATGGTGGCCATGACGTTGCAATTGTGCTTCGGAGGACTCCAAGATTGGCAATTCGGAGATGGATTCTTAATTTGTCTAGCTTATATAGCTCATCCAACCCACCTGTAGGCCTAGAAGCGAGACGATCCTGTCCCACGACAAAAAATGACACTCTTTCAAGACGAGTTAGTTCACCCAACCCCACCGGCATGTGCGTTAAGGCGAAACAACCCGTGCATTTCAGGATCCACAAATTCACAAGTTTGTTGATATCTCTTGGCAACTCTTGGAGACTTTTGCAATAATCAAGGTGCAGCACTTGTAAGTTCTGAAGCATGGTGATAGAGTCTGGTAGCCTGACTATGTTATCGTTGGATGAGATGTTCAAATACCGAAGATGTTTTAGTCCTTGAATGTGGTGTGGCAATGTCTCCATCCCAGTGTACTTGAAATGAAGTACACGCAAACTTGGAAATCTTGAAATAAAAGATCGAAAAGCAGAGTCGTCCCAGTTTGTCCCAGACTGATACCAATTTTTAAACAAAGTAAAAAATGTCTGCAATTGTTTGGCTTTACCCAGGTGGACTGCAAGTTCTGCAGGACTCCACAAATCATGGCTCAATGACATGTGGTAAGTGGTTTTACTGATTCTTGCTGTAGAGTCATCTATTTCTGTATAAGTAGACCCAGATAGTGAGACTGCAAGGTCATGAATTAAATCATGCATTCGACAGGAAGATATACCACTCGACCAACCTATTTTTAACTCTTGAAAGAAAGACCTCCATGTCAAATCCATAACATATTGCACGCCCAAATCATACAGACCCAGTCTAGAATCTTCTGATGACTCGATAAGACCCAATGCAACCCATTGAAAAATTAGTACGGGGACAGGAATTCTATAGCCTTTGGGATACAAACTACAAAATAGGAAGCAACGTTTCAAATGTGAGGGAAGGTATTGGTAGCTTAGCTTTAGGTTGTGTAGTAGGCTAGTATTGTGTTTAGCATCTAAAAGCTCATTAGACCTAAGGAAAGGCAACCATTCAGTTTGAGGATCCTTCAAACACAACAAATTTGCCACTGTTTTGACCGCTAAAGGTACCCCGGCAGACTTTTTCATGATTTGCTCTTTAATCTCTTCCACGCTAGTTATGTTAAGTGGTTCCTCGACAGCTAATTGGTAGTTACCACCACCAGACATGACTTGCCTAAACAATGACCAGGATTGTGGGGAGGATAGACCGCTCAAAGCATAAGGGGGATCCGGAGAGCCACGACTCATCATCTTTGCAAAGTTCTCGAACCGAGTGGTGACTAAGATCTTGCTTCCATTGGCACCACTGTTAAGCACAGATCTCAGCACGTCCCATTTCTCGGAATCAAAGTTCCACACATCGTCCAACACAAGGAAAAACCTCTTCTCACTGATGTATCCCTCAAGGCGATTAGCCAGAGCATTAAGTTGAGAACCTTGTCTCCCTTCCCCTCCTGTGGCAGATTCTAAAATCTTTTGGATAATCACATTGACCTCAAACAACTCCGATACGCATGCCCATAACCTCAACTTAAAATGCTCCTTGACTTGCCTATCATTATAGATGAGTTGAGCAAGTGCTGTTTTTCCCATCCCACCTATACCAACTATGGAAACCACAGAGATCTTAGGACTATGGTTGTTTCCCAGCAGAAGAAGCTGCTTAATATGCTTAACCTCATCTTCTCTCCCAACAACTATGTTAGGAAGGGAAGATATGGTGATGGTATGTTTCATCAATTTGCCTGTCTCTTCAAAACGAGGGCTCAGCTGCAATTTGGTGTTATCAGCATGTATAGCATCCAACTGCTCCCTAACACTCTTGACTTTATGAGCCATTTTAAGACTGTAAATCAGTCGATTCGGGATGGAGAAAAGGAAGCATACCGGAGTCCAACACTGTATCTTGCACCAGGAGGAGCCATCTCGATCCCTTGAGGCCGCTGCTTCCTCCCGCAGAGCCTCGGTAGCAACATCATCAAGTAGGTCCTCTGCATCGAGCAATAAGACCTGCAGCTTCTCGAGCCAGTCTTTGACCTGATGACTGTGCTCTTGCTGCTCCTCCGCATCGAGTAGAAGTGCCTGAATGGCACTCACTGTGCCCACCAGCTTCTCAAGCTCAGCCCGAAGGTTCCACAACAGCATAGCCTCTTGCTGAACAAGAGGACCCAGTTTCTCAAGAATCGTTTTGCCAACGCTGAAGAGAGAAATAGAAGCCATTTCTTTCTTGAGCTTCTTTTTGGTAGGGAGAGGAGAGAAAAGTTTGCAAGTAATTTAGTTCGTTTGTGATGAAATGAAATCCAACCCTTGCTTAGTTATATACCACCTAGTCTGTCCAAGTCAAGGACTCAAGGTCTTGGTGATCAATTAATTTCAGGCTTGCCATTAATTACATATTTTGCTAATTCAGATACATATGATCGACAAAGTCATTAACTAATTAACAAAAGGGATTTTTTCCAAACTGATGCTTAAAAACTGAGTTGGTGGGTAAGCCATCAACATCACTCGCATACATAAAATGGCATCGTACAGCTAAGAAATGTGATTAAATAAGACCCTCTTGCACAATATTAATAAGTGATTAACCTAACCTAGTCATTAACTAATTAACAAAAGGGATTTTTTCCAAACTGATGCTTAAAAACTGAGTTGGTGGGTAAGCCATCAACATCACTCGCATACATAAAATGGCATCGTACAGATAAGAAATGTGATTAAATAAGACCCTCTTGCACAATATTAATAAGTGATTAACCTAACCTATAATTAGTATTACTGTATTAGCATTATTATACTAGCAATGATCTAACAATCATTAAGCCACTGATGGATGATTTCATTGTTCTAGGACCGTTGACTTACAAGTTGCAGTACAAGCACCTTCCCTTTGCTTTCTGGAAAATTATACGGTACGCCTCAAGCGAACAAGAAAAATTATTCTGTCTATGGGGATTCTTAAACTAAATCCCCCTCATAATACTTCTTTAGAGTAAGTTAGTTCATTTAATCTAGTTAAATTTTCGGAGTTATCCTAAAGGAGCTTCCTCGACTCAAAGTTTTCCTTTCTAAACCTCCAATGGCGCCAATTCAAACATTCAGAAGAGAACTGTGAAGAACAAAAAAGGGCAGAAACGTGAAGATGAAGGTAGAAATAGATAGAAGGACCTAATTTGCAGCGAAGGCATTTCAATTCAATCCAACGGAACTTTGACTTCAAGTGAATCAACCTTCTCGGTCATCGCCGGGGCCAACCTCTCGTCGGAGACAGACCAACCATTTCTCTCTCGCTCTCCCGACGATCTTCTCTTCCGGTTGTTGGCTTGAAAATTTGGGGAAGAACAAGAATTAAATTTAGGCCATTCTATGCCGCTAAATTAAGAATTTCCCCATTTGACCCCCGAACTTTGTAAGTATCTCAAAAGTAGTCATTTATTTTCTTACGCTTTGGTGGGAAGTGGGAACCATTTCGTCCGTCCAGTTTAACAGTCATCGAGTATTCTGTCCATGTGGATGCTTAAACCAATTAATTAAGTAGGCAAATGGGACAAGCACAATAGAAGGATCCACAAAAGAAAACCTATCCAACAGGCCCGACAAGTGCCCAAACACCAAACCAGGCCCAAATCACAAGGCTCAAACACCTAACCGCAGAATTAACCACCATGGAGACTGTCACCATCACCAGAGGCTTCAACCAAAGCAGCTTCGCTTACCACCAGCACCAGAGGTCTATAATCTCCTCCCAATCCCAATATATTATGGAGGTTCTCCGGCAGAACATACTTAATTGTAGAATTCGAGACTTCTGAGTAATTTTAGGAGGGATTTTTTTTATCTTTTGAAATTAAATAAATTAAAATGAAATTTATATATATTTGTCTTACTTGTAAACCTTTAAAAAAAAATGAGAGCAAATGCTCTGTCCTCTCTCCTCATTGAAGGCTGCTCGTTCGTTTGGTTAAGATTCATGCCTGCTCGCAAATGGTGAGTGTGCGTTCCTCTCAGTCTTGCTCCTCTGCTCAGCCATGGGTGCTAGTGGGGAGCGAACGGCGCCGATTTGGCGACCGGTGATTCTGGAGCTAGGGATTGGATCTGGCATCCTGCATGCGGCAAGGCGAGAAACGAGAGTTGTGAAAAGGAAACGACGGTGGAATCCCGATGGGGGATGTGAGAGTATTCGACGCCAGCTTTGTTTTCAGTGGGCCGAGGTCCCAGGTGGGCGACGATCACCACCGACTGGTGTGGCGAAGGAGGATTGGGGCGGCAGAGTTCAGCTGAACCGAAAGGATCGGGTTCCTCTTTCCTCGCTGGGAAAAAAAGGAAAACAGATAATACTGAAGAAAAACAAAAAATCCCTCAAATTCGGGATTGGGAAGGTGCGAGAAAATCTCGTGAGGCTGAAGATCAGGATGGGAGAGGACTCCTAGAGGGATACCTCCTCCTGAAAAAATCTGATGGGATATACTCGAATCGAAAGTCTATTCAGGAGACGGTGCTACGGTTGGCCCCGAAGTAGGTCTATTTAACCATTGCGCGTCGCTGTCAAAATCACTCTTCCATTTCTACTCATCCTAATTGTGAAGGTGATTGGCAGACGCGATCGATAGTTGAACGTGAAGAAGAAAGAACTCAGTACCCAGGTATGGGACTCTTGAGGTGGTTTCAAAACTTGGTGATATGTTGCTGGGGCTTGGTGACTCGTTTATGTTGTGATTTCTATGTGAAGAACTCTGGGTCGGGGGTTTGGTTGCGATAACATGCTTTTAAGCTGCTATTATGGGCGGACAGAATGTAGAAGAGTGTTCAGACTCTTGCTTTGTATTTGTGATCAACAGGGATCAGGCTGTGCGGGAAATAGGGATGGCAATGGTAGAGTCGGGTGCTGGTTGACCCTATACCAACTCCTAACCCGCCGGGTAGAGCCTTTTAAAATACCCGATCAAATAATCACCGGGTATGAAAATAATATAACCATACCCTACCCACCGGGTAACTACGGGTATTCGGGTAACCACAGTCAAATCCTAAAATATGAACTTATACACATATATGTAAGGTTGGTCATCGGATGGGTCGGGTGGATTTCGCTCATCAAAGTGACCCACCAAAGCTATAAAAGGGTGGGACAAAATTGATCCACCACCCACCCACTCACAAACTTGAACGGGTTGGGTCGAGCGGGTTGCGATACGAATGAATGGATCACGATTCAAAACGGTTGAACAATCACTAGTGAAGATGGAATAAACAAACACCTGTGTGTAGCTTTAAGAATAACATATTGATAAATTCTATATAAATAACAACTTTTTGTTGACGATTTCAATATATAATTTGTTAACAAAACTATAGAAGCATTCAGAATAGTAGTAATGGAAATTAGTAGCACTTCCACTTCTACAACTTGCTTGGCAGGAAGCGAACCCCACGAATCAAAAACAATTTAGAGATGAGTGAAATTCCAGGTGAACCCTTCATAGTCCGCATTTGTTCACCATATAACAGTAAAGAGGCTCATGAAAGAGAGAAGCTATGAAACCATGAGCTGAGATCTTATCAAAGAGGACAAACAGTTAAGAATAATCCTCATGACATGGTACAATATCATGACATCATGGCAACAACTGATAATTAGTAAGACAAGCACAAGTTTTTTATTTTGTTCTTAGGATTAGGTAGAAATCTACCATTTAGTTAGCGGGGCGGGTGTTAGCAATTACCATACCCGTACTCTATCTTCATTTTTACAACCGGGTATTACCCGTACCCAACTTTTAACCCGTCAAAGCGGGTAATTACCCGCATTGACCGGTTATGGTCGAGTAGGGTACCCATGGTTTCAGGTTAGATTGCCATCCCTAGCGGGAAGTGGACATGGAGCCATCATTGATGAAGACGAAGAAGGGTGGATCAGGGAAGGACCAGATTGTGGATTTCCTGACTGTGGATGTGGAGACTAGCATGAAGCGAGCTAAATCCAGCCTGCTTTGCCTCCTGTTCATGGAAACATGGCCCAGCCTCTCTGTCATTCTGCGTATTGTGCAAGGAGCATGAAACTGCTCCAAGAATGTGGTCATTATGGAAGCGGAGGGTGGGCTGCTGCAGTTCCTCTTCGATGATGATGAAGATATGGAATGGGTGCTACAAAGAACTCCGTGGCCGGTCAAGGATCGTGTCCTCTAGATACAGAAGTGGGAACCGGTAACTGAGGCGGTTGTGGAGTCCTTAGCATTTGCCCCATTCTGGTTTCAGATGTGATGTGGGGGGATCCCCTCGCATTGCCGAATGGTGGCATTCGGGAGAACCATGGCCGAAGCAAAAATTGGGGAGGTGCTGGATGCAGGGATGTTCGGCATCCGCGGGGAGTCTGGGAATTTCATTAAAACAAGGGTGAAGCTGAATGTGCTGCAACCGTTGAGATAGAAGTTGTATGCTCGTAATAAAGTGGCGGGGGAGTTCTGGGTGTATCTTATCTATGAGTTCCTCCAACTATTTTTTACCACTGTGGGAGATTGGGACATTTGGAGAAGAATTGCTCCTTCTCAGATTCGGAATGGGATGAGGAGTATGGTCCGAGGATGTCTACGAATGTTATCGGCTACAGAATGCAGAAGTGCCTCGGCTGCCGAAATCAGTTTGGATTAATCCGAACGTGGAGGGGGCTGCTAAGAGGGAAAGTCGCGACGATGATAGAGGAAAGGGGCTGGAGATGGCGGCTGCACCGAAGCCAGTTGTGATGGGTTTGAAGGTGTCGAAGGGCGCTGCTGGTGGGGTGGAAGGGAAAAAGATGGAAGCTGGGAAGAAGAACATGGCGAGGAAGGGGAAGGCTGCTGTGGCTGGCTCATCTTCAAGGAATAGCAAGAGAGTGGTGGGTGAAATTCACGCTGGTGAAGGTGCTGAGGGGAGTGGCGAGGGGAAGAATGCAGCGGGGTCGACGAGAAGAATCCGGGATGAGAAGATGACGGGGAGGAATAAGGGGTTGGCGGGGAAGGATGTTCAGGAGGTGGGTGAGTCGAAGGGCACACAAAAGCAGGCAAGGATGCAAGTGACAAAGCCGGCTCTACCGAGGGCTGACCAGCGAGGCGCACAAGTTGGAAATGATCAGATCTATTCGGCGGGGGTGGAGGATGCTGCACCGGTGCGGGGGAAGGAGGGAGATACCTCTATTATGGATCAAATGGTGGATTCAGCTACTGAGCTAATGAAAAAAGCGACGATGAACCTGAAACTGGATGAGTATGGCTTTAATTTAATGCAGGTTTTCCGAATGACAGCGCCAGAGATGGAGGTTGTGGAGGAGAGAAAATGTGTTGCGGCGGAGGTTAAGGAATTGGTAGCTTATTCGACCTCTTCTTGTGTTAATGATGATGTGTGGTGGAGGAAGCCAGCCCGAAAAGGCCCCAATCGTCCAAATGAGGCTTGTGTCTTGGAACGTGAGGAGTATCGGGACTACTCTCATGCTCCAGTCGTTGTTAGG